CACCCCCACAGTTTGAGCTCTGATTTGCAGGGCATTGCAGACCGAGTCAGGAGAGGTATGGCCCCATTCTTGCGATGTGCTGCTGTTTTCTTCAATTGCCTTACAGGAGTGCCCCCCCCTAAGGAGCTCTCAAGCACTACAGGTATATCCTGAAGACAGTTTTATGGTACTTTCAGCTATGAGGTTGTGATCTGGGACGTGACCGAGACCTTGTCGGTAATGTGGTGATGTCATCCCCCTGCAGTGTCTGAGGAAGCCCAGATGGAGGCGCTGTGCTCTTACCTAGCATTGCCCTCCAATCTCTTCAAGCTCTTCCAAGAACACAAGGAGACCGTTTCCCCTTTACTGCAGAGGTACCTCGCTCACCCTGTGCAGCTACAAGATGTACAGGGCTTTTCCCACACCAAATGAACCCACAGGACGTTAATGTGGAGCCCTGGATTTCTCTAGTTGCTTCACACAATTATGTTCTCTGAAGGGGCTCCTTCTCACCCCGTCTACAGGTGGTGCGGAAGGCCTGAGATCACCAAAGCCCTGAAGGGGGACATGCCGGTGGTCAGGTCAGCACCCATACATCATGTCACACTCTTGGGTTCCCTTTCTCAATGGGCCATCGGGTACAAAACCCCCAGCTTGCTCTGTCATTACCCAGGTACCCCAGGAAATGCAACAAGCTGGTTCACCTTCCAGAGGATTACAGCGCCCTCTTAAACCAGGCCTGTCATTTTCAGTAAGTGAAGTGTGTGCCAAATCACACCCTCTGTCCTCTTTATTTGGTGGGGGGGGGTCTCTGGTTCAGAGGATACCTGGAGCTTAGTGAAGGGATTCTGTCTCGGCATGGTGGTGGTGAAAGGTGTTCTTTCCTTAAAACATTGGGGGTTAAGTGTTTGAAGTCCACCTGAGGCATTGGCCCTCTGGCCCTGGTGGATGAATAATGTTTTACTGTCCTGCCCCCCTCCAGGTGTCCCAAGGGCCCCATGGACGAGCGCAAGCACCCTGCGCTTTGTTTGTTCTGTGGGGCCATGCTCTGCTCCAAGAGCCCGTGCTGCCAAGAGCAGCTGGATGGTGAGGAGGTGGGAGCCTGCACTGCCCATGCCGCCCGCTGCGGGGCCGGCGTCGGAATGTTCCTCAGGTAGGGGGCGCCACTGTGCCCATGCACTTATGCCTCCGTTTCTCTCTCATGCTCATGGGCCTCTCGCTCTCTGCTGCCCCCGCAGGATTCGCGAGTGTGAGGTGGTGCTGATGGGCAGTAAGACCCGGGCGAGTTTGTATCCTGCCCCCTACCTCGATGACTATGGGGAGACGGACCCTCAGCTAAGGTGAGGCCGTCTGTTCTGCTGGCGTGTCGAACTTAAGACCAGCTAGCTTTTTGTAGTGTTTGTACTACCGTGGGTGGACCTTACTGTGATTTGTACTGGACTGAGAGTTCTCGGAGATGGTCCGTTCTGGTGCTGCTGCTGACTTCTCCTGCCTGTTCCAGGCGAGGGAACCCCCTGCATCTGTCTCCAGAGCGGTACCGCAGGCTCCACCAGCTGTGGCACCAGCACTGCATCATGGAGGAGATCGTTCGCAGCCAGGAGGTGGTCAATGTCATGTTTGGTCCAGATTGGCAGATGCTCTAAGACTCGGGTTAGGGGGGGGCGTGAGTGTGATGTGGGGGGTAGGTGCAGCCTTGGAGTACCTCACTAGCTTCCCTAAGGGGAGACATTCATCAGCTTTGGGCGGTCTGCTTCCCTCTCCAAATCCTGCCAGGCCACACAGTGAAGAGTGAGGCAGAGAGTGAGTGTAAATGAACTGGAGTGAACTGGGTCACCTTAATCACCAGGCTTTGTGGCTGGATTGGCCCAAAAGGACTTTCTGACCATTTCTGGTGAATGACAGTGTAAAAATTTAATTAATCAAACTGATCAAAAATATATACCCTTTTCTTCACATTTTGTTTGTGTACTAACAGCTACCTGGAGGTGGCGCTGTAAATAACCAAAGGATTACACATTGTACAAAATGTTTAAATGAGCATGTTATTGAAACAGCTGGGTTAATTTCAAGGTCATTTTACTGAATGAGATTTCTTTCTTTTCTTTTTTTTTAAATATGTACAATTATTTTATGTTTCATTATTATATGTATCCTGGCCTTCAAGCAGAGTCTTTCTCACACAAACACATGATATGCAAAAGTGTATACGGTATAAGAAATTAAATCTATGAAGTTTTTGGATAACTTTGTGTGAGGGATCCAGCTTTCTGGTGTTTGAGTTCCACCACGAACTGTGTATAGAATGACAATCCAGTACTTCATCCCTTTTGACCACTCTGCCGTTAAAAGGTATCCTGAGCTGTGCTGTTAGACTTTAATTTTCTGCATCTGTTTGTCTTTTGAACTTTTTATTGTTTCGGCTGGTGGTGTCGCCCTGTTTGCCAGTCTGCTTCCTGTGAAGAGACTCTCGATCTACTTGTCCTTCAGAAGTGTGAGCATAGCGACGGCAGAGGTGCAGTGTGTGTTACAGAACTGTCATCTGTCTGCTGGGGATGTATGAGAGAGCTCACCTGCCCTTGTAGCTAATGTTCCGGATGGGATGATACTTGTTTTCCTGCTACCTATAATTTTCCCCAAACATCGCCGTACTGTTCAGGCCAGTATGTTTAAACTGTGAATAAAATATATTGCCTGGCCGTCTTGATTATTGTGCTCATGTGTCTGATTAGTTCCACCTCAGTGGTTCATCATTGGTGGCTGGTTGAGTGCCGGTAAGCTGTCATTGACTCTGCCTCAGTTATTTACATCATTGGGGGTGTTCTGCCGATCTTGAAGTCTGACAGTTTGCTTTTGGTTTCAATGGAGATGAATGCATGTTCAGTCTTTGCCTGTGGTGATGTGATTAACTTCTGTGAAAGCTTTTCTTGGTGGTTTAGTTTAAAGTAGTGATTCCTCTGGGACCAACGGAGGTTCCATGTTTTTGCTACCTCCCAGCTCCCTGCTGTACAAAAACATGGACTGCCTGTGGGTCCCTGAGGACCGGATTGGGTAACACTGGTTTGAACTGGTTTCAAGTAATCATTGGGTCCCTGGTAAAAGCTAGTACCTGCTGTCATTGTTTTTTAAAAAATGTTTACTTAGGAACTCTTAGTGTACTGCTCATTTGCCTTAACTGGTAATTATAACCAGTAGCAGGTAGAATGGTAAATGCTAATTTAGCCCTTAGATATTGTTGTTCTGTGGCCTGAGTCCCCAGTTTGCATGTGGACCTGATGGGTGGGGTGACTAACGGCAGTGTATCATCCTAGCTGATGTTGCAGTGTCACTGTCCTCCCCCAGGAAACCAGAGGGCCCTTTCTGTTTTTATAATTGGCTCTTTCTGGTTATTGTTCTCGTTTTTCATTGACAAAATGGGATTATAGAAGCTGACAGGTACCTGATGGCCAGCCTGTTGTCATGCTGTGTGCACGTGTGCATGAAGGAGAGAGAACGTTGCACGGCTTCCAAGTTCACAGCCTGTCGCTTAAATTGACCTTCATTTCTGAGGCGAAGTTTTGACCACAAAGTGACAGCGTACTCTTTGTTTCCATGTAATATTTTGTAGTATTTTTTATAGCTGTGCACATGTGCACAAGCAATTTCCCCTTTTCTAGCTCGCATGGCATGAATGAATCCTCACAGTTCTTCAGATGTACTTTTGTAATGTTTTAATTTTAATCTTTTTGGGTTGAATATTCCATGGAAAATGAAAATGACTACTTACCAAAAGAAAATGCAAATAATTTCTGGTGACTGATGGAAACTATGGAGAGTTCTTTTTTTACTTAGAATGGTTTCCTTGCCCTCTTTCAGTTAGGCATGACTGTCAGGTCACATCACCTTGGGTTTGAGGTAAGGCTTTGATATACTGGAGACTTCCTGTTGGGTTATAAGTTTCTAAGGTTATAAGTGTGATCGATCTCATATACTGTTATGTATCCATTTAACCTGTTTAGTGCTTTGTATTAGTTTGTTTTGATCTGGCCCCTTCTTGTAACCTAGGGGCTTAGGCACATTAGTGTGCAGTACAGCTATCTAAAGAGTCTTCTATAGTTTCCAAAAAGCCTGTAGATCTGATGAGAGCTGCTGTAAGCGTCAGTGCCTGGTTCAGCAGTGGTCAGGTTTGTGAGAAGTCGCTGACCTACGGACAGCAAGAAAGCTCCTATCTTACTGAGGCCAACATGGAGCTGTCCTGGCATCTGCCACTTCTGCTGTGTAAACGGTATCATTTCGATTTGGCTGACCTTCTGCCTCATTTCACAGGATCAACCCTATTCCCCCCCCTCCAGCATAAATGCACCAGATGATAGATGATGAAGGCGATTTTAAGTTCCTTGTCAGTCTGCTGGTCAACGCAGCTTGTGTCCATATTTTATATGCAGGCTTATCGGTTCTGCGACCAGTTGATGGTATTTTGTGGTCCTTCACAAGTCTTCTCTGTTTAACGTAACCTATAGTTTTCACTGATGCTTGATCTCTTAAGACAGCCGTTTTCTCATATGCCAGACGTGTGATGTTCCCCAGTGAGGTGTATTTGGTGGTACCAGCGGCAAGGAGTTGCCGATTAGCTGGTTGCAGGAATCAGTTTTGCCGGCAAGTTTCCGGCGTCTCCTTGCGAGGTTCTGGGAACGTCGATGTTGGGATCGTCATCATCCGTGGCATCGACCCGATTGCACTTGCCCAAGTTCTTGATGATGTTGAAGTTGGAACGGGCCGTCTCAGCTAAGCTGTTCTCCAGGAGCCAGCCATCAGACTCCGAGTCAAGGTCCCCGTTGCGCAGCACGTTATCCATGGCTGTCTGCAGGTACCGTACGCCAGTCAGTACTGAGAGCTGCAGCGGGAGACCACAGCAGGTCATGACAATGAGGAAGGGCTTTCCAAAACTCATTCAACTTAATTGGCACAAAATCAAAGGGGGCATCATTTTTCCCTGTAGTTCCAGTGATAGGGTACATGTTTGATTTGACCATGTAATGGATAGATCGATGCATCCAAAAGAACTCCTGGGAGTGTTTACTTAAGTCAACATAATAACCACTCCCCATATGAAACCACGAACATTGATTCGTAACGACAGTGCACGTCAAGGTCTGGGATATATTGGACTGTACAGTAACATTCAGTTCTTGTAGTTGACATGTTGATTTGCCAAAGAAATTGGCAGAAATAACATGAGAAACTTTCATAAAGGCCAATTTGTTATGACCAGATGGACTCGGTCAGAGCACCAACAAAATTACAAGGGGTGGGGTGCTCATGGACAGCTGTGGTGAGGGAAAAACTGCAAACCATCGACAAGGTGTTGGGTGACAGTGATTCGTCAATGCAAGATATGAACAAAGGCTATCCCTAGCACGAACCAACCGAAGGGCTACTGTGGCACAAAAAGCAGATAATTTTAATGATCATTAGAGGAGTAATTTCTCATGATACTCAGCATGTGAAGTCCTGCGGCGTATGGGGCTGGTACCACTGGACTACTACGTCAGTTGCAGTAACAGTTTGACTTTCTCCAGTGAATCGCCTACCTCAAAGAGCCAGATGAGAAGCACTGTGAGCCCCACAGACTGCAGGATCTGGCTGTAGTACTCCATCAGGGCCTGGCAGCAGCCCCGCCTCCACACGTTCAGCTCCTCCCTCTGGTAGTCATAATTGAAGTGGGCTGAGCTGTTGGTCACCTGTTGCTGGATGCAGGGCCGAGGGGAGCTGGGGTTGCAGCAGCTGAACGGCACAGCGTCTACCAGGTACTTGCCTTCGACGTTGCTCCTCAGGCGTCTGGGAAACATGGGGGGGGGGGTTGTGTAAGTGTCTGTTTGTCTTGGGTGGAGGATTATTGGCGTCTTGGTCCATACTGTCCTGCTTGGGATCTGAGCTGGATCTGTAGATGACCAAATGCTATAAAAGGTTATAGTGTAACCAAAAAATAGGTCTTTGCTAACTCTGAACACAACAGAATACCAATAAACATACAGGAATTTTAGCCATCAGCAAATGGTGTAATATTGTCATGTGCCATTGTATTCATTCATTAAAAGGGAACAGAGACCAACAAGAAGGACTGAAAGTTAAAAAAAGCAGGTAACTTTGATGTTTGTAATGCTCAGAATGCCTTTATCAATAAGACAAAGTTCTATAATTGGCTACTGATAGGTGAGGAATGTCCTTCCAGGTCAGGACAAAGGAACTGAGGGAATGGAATTGCCTCATCCCTGCTGCCATGAATAGGCTCTCTTTGTTTCAGGAAGACAAATCCTGTTTAATCCAAATTCATCCCTGCCCTCATACATTCTTCCTTTTACCTGTGCATTTCCCCTTGCTGCCCCCATAGACTTACTGCACAACTTCCTTGTGGGACATATCCAGGTATCGGTTACTGATCCATTGAATTTGGAACCAGTCTCGGAAGTCGACGCTACCGCAGCACTGAAACTGCATCTGCAGCACATCTACAGTGCGCTTGAGAAAGCAGCGTCCCGGCGTGTCCGTGTCCTTGTAGTAGCGTATGGCGTCATTCAACCCGGCCAGCAACGACGACTCCAGCTGGCCACGCATGTTGTAGCACATGAGTGCCCCCACCAGGATGCAGAAGGTGAAAAAGAAGGTGCATATGGTGTATGGTAACATCAGTAGCTTCCAGCGCAGGTACTTGGCTGTGTCCACGCAGTCGTGACAGATCTTGCCTCCCAGCAAGTTGATGATGCAGGCTATGAGCCCCACGGCGATCAGCATGTCCGGCACGACCTGGAGCTGCCGATCGGACAGCAACTCCTGACGCTTGGCAATCTCCACTTTCAGGAAGAGGCCTAGACTCAAGAGGATGATGCCTGTCACCACAGAGACCCAGTTCAAGATCCAGAGCACTTGGGCCAGCTTGTCTCGCTTAGATTTGGTGAACTTCACCTTCAGCACTGCCATCTTGGATGTGGTGAAACACTTGGAGTTATATTTCCACTTGCCGACATGAATTGGGGAAGGATGGGAAGAGTGAAAGGAGGAGGCTACGCAAACGGCGTGGGGTGGGCGAGGAGGGGGAAGAGACTGCAACTATGTTCTAGAGGTCCTCATAAGGTGCTTAGCAGACGACTGCGACGATGGTCTGCCGATGTTCCTGGGGGGGGGAAAAGGACAACAGTAACTCTGAAGCCCTCCATCAGCCCGTAACTATCATCTACGCTCCACTGCCGCAGTAAAGACGCTCATGTCTCTTTGATAGGGCTGGAAGGGCACCATGATGTGCTTGTAATGAATATCATAACTAAAACTAGAACAAAAACTAGCTTCACATCACTACAAAACTGCCTATTGAATAGGTTTTGTTTAGAGTTGGTGACCTGGCAAAATGAAGCCCAACAAATGTACGGTGACACTGCTGCTGAAGACTGTCCTGCAATTGTTGTGCATATGTGCACTGTACCTTCTGCCCTGGTGAGACACAGCAATTACGGTGTAATACTGACCTCTTTCTGTGTCTCTTTTCTCATCCATTTCCTAGTGAGTATCTCCAGGATCAACGCGGACGGCTAAACGGCATGTTTCAGGACGGTCTTGGCTGGTCAGCGAGGCCAGTGGATGCTTCAAAGTGACTCCTGTGTGCCTGCTCTGAACCCTGTGCCTAAATCCGCATTAATCATCCGAGCCCAAGAGATTTATAAGTAGGTCTTCGGCCCCTGTACAAATCTGACTGCAGTGCAGAGCTGAGCGGCGTTCCAGCTGGGAGGTATAAGGGTTTAACAAAAAACATGAACGCATTGACCTTTACGTGTACAATTTAGCCTCGGTCACTTGTAAGAAGAGTGCAAACAGCGCACATGTAAAGCCAGCCCTTATAGTGCTCTGTGGATTTGTGCCCCCTAGAGGAAAGAGGGTGTATCACATAGTGAATGATTTGGACTTCGTTTGATGAGCCTCCAGAGCCCAGTCACCCGAGACACGTGTAATTATTTCTGAACTTCCATTGTCTTATATGCTACAGATCTTTAACTGCCTGAGTAGGTGAGTTATATGTTCTGGTAAACCAGTATGCTTGACTCTCGTGGTGCTGAGTGACCTGCTTATTTAGAACACATGGGTTATGGTCTATGTGTATCACCATTAACCCCAAACACGAGAAAGTACCCGTAAGCCAGGAGTCTTCTCTGTGTCTCATCTCAGCCTTTCAGCTGTAGCCGGGGTGGATTACTGGATTAGCAGGCCCCAAAGGAGCTTGTGTCAGGAGAATGTGTGGTGATGCGTGGGGGCGCACTTTCAGGTGGGGGTATGGTGGGGGAGGAGGGCCTCCTGTCTGACCCCAGGAAGAGGAAATGAAGTGGTGCTTGAATGAGGAATCCTGGTCTAATCCCCTCATAGTTACATTAACTGTAGATCTGTCCTCCTCCTCAACGACCAAAGTAAAGCTGGTCTCTGGCCTATCATGGGTATCAGCAATGTGAAATCTCAATGGATTTAGTTTTTGTGATTTATATTTTTTTTTATTGAAATAGTTCTAAATCATTTGAATCGTGGTTCTGCTGACAGAGGCTACGCTGAGCCGCAGGTTCCGGATGTCTAAGACAGCAGCACACGAGACTAAGGTGAAGCAGGAGACATTGAGAATGACCAGAAACCAGCCAGGTAAAGGACAGAAACAACTTTCTAATGCCAGAGATGACCGTTAACTTATCTGCTAGTTTCTCATGAATCGTAGGGTGATACCAAGTAACCTTCAAAAGGAATGGGAAACATTAAGTGCAGGTGTGAAGTGCACTGCTAGGACAGTTCATATCAGGCTCCTAGAAGCAGGACTGAAGTTCCATAAAGCAAGGAAGAAGTCCTTCATTAAGGAGAAACACAAGATCTGGGCTGCGATTTTGCAAAAAAAAAAAAATATATATATATACTGCACACCCATAAATTGAGAAATTAATTAAACAAAAAATTGTGCTGTGGTGTCTCAATTTTTTCCAAGACTTTAAATATGTTGAAAACACCAGCCGCTGCAATACTATCAATAAGAGATTCTCAAAAAGTCAATCAGACAGGCCCCCGTTATCCTGACTGTGGCTCTAGATGGGGTTTGCAGCAGACCGATAAATGCCAGGATCAAAGAGCTGCAGCTGAACCCAAACGTTACTGTGTGGTGTTCATTTGACCCAACACAAGCGGGAAGCAGGGCTCTTTGGCTGCAGTTGGAGCAGATCTCCAGGAGGCCTCAAGCTGTTTGGAGGGCTGCCCTAGAGGCGGCAGGATTGGACAAGGAGGGATATGGGTCTGTCAGCCAGGGGACAGTGGCCCTTTTGGAAAAGCAGCATGGCTCATCCTGGACTGCCAGGGGTCCTGAGCTACAGGGGAACCCCCCCCCCAGGCTCCAGGCTTCAGCTGCAGGCTTCAGCTGCAGTTGATCCCATGTGTCCATACTTCTCCTGCCCAGGCCATTGGGTCCTTTTGTTCATAAAGCTCTCAAAGCAAACAAAATCGTGCTTGTTAATACACTTGCAGAGTGACTCAGTATTGTCACTGTGTCCACCTCCTGCAGGAGGTATGGTTGGCCCAGTGTTCAGCTGGAGAGCAGTCAGAACATGCTGTGGGTCTCCTACCAGACTGATAATTATTTTCCTCTGATTTAAAAACACTGAATATGTGGCATTCTGTTTACTACAGGACACACAGGTTCTGCCTTGCATGCTTTTGTGCTGGTTCTGATTAAACAGTCTTTATCAGATTGGGCCAGACAGACCAGGCACATAATCCTAAGTCACACCGACGTGGGACGCCCTTGAAAAATACTCCGATGCAGTGAAAGAGACAGCTCTTGGATGAACCTGCAGGTACATTGCAACTGGAAAAGCTACAGCTGTGTTATTGGTCTTCCCAGACTTCAGTGGACTTCCTGAGGTCCAAAAACTGTTGGATTGTGTAGCTGCACCAGCCTGTATCAAAGGTTGCTGTAAAGTCTGTGGGATCAGGCCTGCTATCAGAAGTGCCTGGGATTTTGAGAAGCCTCCTGTGTTCGGGGAAGTCTGATGGCGACGACCGTTGTGGGCATGGAGGAAAAAAGAAACTGCATTACTCCCTCTGTCACCGCTGTTGTACAGTAGCAGTCAAAGGTCTGGACATACCGACTTCTAAAGCATTTCCTGTATTTTAGCCATGTTATTCACCTCATAGTAAGAAGCTTCAAGGAACTGAGGTAATACAGGTACATATCAAATATTGCAACAACCAAGAGAAGGGTTCAACATCTCAACCTTTTATCAAATATTGGACGGATATTAATCCCCTTTTGCTTCGATGACAGCATTGCAGACTCTTGGCATCCTTTCAGCCAGCTGCCAGATGTAGCCACCAGGAATGCTTCTCCAACAGTCCTGAAGGAGTTTCCACAAGCTCTGGGCACAAGTTGGCTGCTTTGCTCTTACTCTTCAATCCAACTCATCCCAAACCAGCTCTATAGGGTTTAGCTGGGGGGATTGTGGGGGCCAGGTCATCTGTCTCAGCACTCTCCTTGTTCACGTGATAATACAGTACTTTTAAAAGCACTGCTGAAGGTTATTATGTTGTTATAATGATTTTCAGTAGGTGTGGTACTATAGGTTGCACTGCAGTCCAGGGGGAATGACTTTTCATGCCACTATATCTGTATAAGAATGATATGATAATAAAGCCCACCTGACTCGAAATGATTATTGCAGGAAGAGCCAGGCTCGCACCAAGCATGGAGCCTAAGTGGAGAGGAAACGTAAATGATTGGGTTTGTCTGACCCTGGGCTGCTGGGCTTCTGGTCTGGTCACCTCCAGGATTACATTTGTTCTTATCTTAAGAAATGCTTTGCCTGCTAATTACATGAGGGATCTGGTAGATGTGGCCACAGCTAATTAAATTATCAGGAAAATGAGAGCGTAGGGAATCTGGGACACAGCAAGAGGGTCTGTGCCTGGCCTGGGGGGGGGGTTATATGAGGTAGGGAGAGCAGTGTATCCATATCTTCTGTCTACTTCTATTTAAAATGCCAGCTGTCCCCTGCGGTCTTTCTCCACAAACCACTTACCATGTAGAGGCGGGGGCACCCTTGCCTATGAGGATTTATCTGTGGTGCTAAGAGACTACGTCAGGGCTGGAGGACTGCCCCCTGGTGGTAAGACACAGACCTCCCCTTTGTTTCCAGTACATAGTGCTAAACCACGTGTGATAGGTAATCAGGAAATGTTTGCGCCAGTAATATAGCTGCTGTCTGGTTGTGTGTCTTGTCGTTGTGGCCAGTATACCAGGAGTAAACACCAGAGGGCGCCCTGCCTCTTTCTTACAAGGGTATCCACCAGCTCCTTTCACTCCAAGCAGAGGCTGGTAAAGACGTTATCTGGTTCTATAGTACTTTGGGTTCCAGGTCCTCCTCCCACTTTGGTTTTTAGCTCCCTGTCCTGAATAAGAGTGAGGAGAGATTGAATGCAATGCAAGGCAACTTGTATGTTGTCAAAAAGCTTAGAGTATTCTAAAAATAATTTCCCAGAGTTTCTTGTTTCTGCATTAAGAAAATGTACTTTGAAATTTAAATCTTCATTTAACTTAAAACAGGGCTTTGAAAACTCACTGAATCGTTATTTTCAGGCCTTGTGAAGGACAGCTTCACTGGTCTTGTCTGGTGACATTTGTGGGCCAGCAGAGGGCGCTGTGGGCTTAACAGGCAGAGGCTGTCCTGATAGGAGAATATGAAAAGAACTGCTTAAAACAGGGTTTCTCAAACCATGTTTTGAGGACCGCCCCCCCAACCAGAGGGAGACCGGGTTGAGAAACACTAATGAATAACAATAATAATAAACTAATAATAACATCAATGCCTTAAGTTATTATGTTAAGCTGATTTGGGCAGGGCAATGTCAGCATGCTCACATAAAATGGGTTCCTGGCAATTATGGATTTCAAAAAGAAAAAAAAGCATACA